ACCACAACTGTCCCTTCACATGTCAGTGTCGAGTTCCAGCTAACGGTACAGCTGTTAGCTGGAACCAATACAACTCAAGGAGGAGGAGGAGGAAGAGGAAGAGGAAGAGGAGGAGGAGGAGGAGGAGGAAGAGGAAGAGGAAGAGGAGGAAGAGAAAGAGGAGGAGGAGGAGGAGGAAGAGGAGGAGGGGGAGGAGGAAGAGGAGGAGGAGGAAGAGGAGGAGGAGGAGGAGGAGGTTTAAGCTACTAGATAATTTGCCTTTTAAGAAGTTACATTAACACATTTCTACAAAAGGAATTCAATAATCTTACTTTGCTGTTTCAGGTTATTTAATCAAATAAAAAAGAGACGTTTCTTGTTGGTGGTAAAACCCGGTCTGAGTCTTCTTACCTGGTGTACTTGGCCTCTCCTCCTTCACTTGACCCTTCACCAGCTGGCTCTCCGAGGCGTCCACCAGCCCGTCCGCCTGCTCCAGCTTCGGGGTCAGGACGGTGCTGTCCGCCTCCAGCAGCTCCTGCTTCGTCTCAGCTTTGATCTCGGGCAGACCCGTGAACTCCAGGTCCTCTGGCTTGGCCTCGGGTTTGATCTCAGAGCTGTCTGGGAAGGCTGCGAACTCCAGACCCTCTGGCTTGGCTTCGGGCTTGATGGCAGACGTGTCAGGAAAAGCCGTCAACCTTAAACCTTCTGTTTTTGTCTCGCTCTTCAGCTTGGCTCCGTCCGGATACGCAGCAAACCCGAGTGACAGCGGTTTGGCTTCAGGTTTGATTTCGGCGCCAAAAGCTGCAAACTGGAGGACCTCGGGTTTACTGTCTAAGCTCTCGGCCTTCATGGGGAGGCTGAGATCTTCAGGTTTGGCCTCCAGTGCTTCCTGTTTCACGGGATAGTCTAACTGCTCAGCTTTGGTCACCAGGTCTTCTGACTTAACGGTGTAAGTGAGGAATTTAGCGTGTTTGACTTCAGAGCTGTCAGGGTAGATGGGTAACACCTCCTCAGCGATCTCCGTCTTTGTCTCCTCGACCTTGATCGGCAGCTCCAGTTGAGCTGGTTTCCTCTCACCAACACTGTCCGGTGAAGGAGAGAATTTAAGACCAGGCGGTTTTGTGTCAGCGCTGTTTTCAGGCAGAGCGGCGGCGATTTTGATTTCGTTTTGTTCAAGCAGATGCTCTTTGTTGTCCTGATCGAAGGAGTCCTCAGCTGTTCCGTCATAGCTGTCCTGATCCATGGAGACTTCAGTTTTGACTCCAGCCTTCCCGCCGGTGGTCTCGTCAGACTTGGATTCTATTGTGACGGATGAAAGGGAAGCAGAGGAGGGTTTCGCGCATTCGGAGTAAATGCTGTCCAGCTCCATCTCGCCGGCTTTGGCGTTCGACTGTTTCGCTGCCTTCTCCGCCGTTTGATCGCGTGACTGAACGACCTGAACGTCCTGAACGTCCATCAGAGACACATGATCCACCTGACCCTCTGAGATCTCATCCACTTGATCTGAGAGATCCGTGTGCTCCACCGAACCGTCCTCTCTGGACGCGTTCCCCATCAAGGCTCCCGATTCGATCGAATCTTCCATCGTCTCTTCCTCCACGGCCTGATACAAAATCAACCCGTCCACCTCCTCCCCGGGTTCCTCTATAGACTCAGGACACTGCTCCAGCTTCCCGAGGTAAGGATGCACGTCTGCTTTGTCTTCTGCCTGACGGAAACTCTCCTGAAGCTCCAGTCTCTCGTCCTGCTCCGGCTCTAACCCATCGATCTGGGCCATGTGTCCCAAACTTTGGTCTGCACCTGTGAGTATAAAACATCAAGGCGTGACGCGGAAAGTTTAAAGATTATTAGAAAAATGAGACGATTAAAATAAAGTGAAAATATGTTTGTTGAACTCGGTGTCACCGGGTCAGAATCAACACACCTCGGTCTGAATCGCACCGTTCTCCCTCCAGACTCGGACCTCCTCGTTTTCCCACCGTCCGCCTCGACAAGTCCTCCACGTCTTCCTCCTCCTTGTCGTCGAACTCGAACCCCGCGCCTCCTTCCCGCTCCTCCACCTCGTCCACGGGATTGGTGAGGCTCTCGGTGACGTCGGGGTGGCCCAGCCTATCCTGCGGCTCGTGGGCGGTGATGTCAGACAGAGAGAGGGGAGGAGGGGGCACGTAGGGCGGAGGGGGGCTCGCTGACAGGTCTGTTTGATCCGCGCTGGGTTCCTCGCTCACGCCGATGTCCTGGATCAAACCAAAGAGTCAGAAACAGATTCACCCACGCAGAAGTATAAAGTGATTTTTGGTGCAATCACATAATGGAGATATAATGATGTTTTCACTCTCAATATGCTTCACTTCACTTTTTCCTTTTAATTTAAAACTGAATTAATAGATTTGATAATAATTTCAGCCTGTTTGTCTGTTGCCTGCTCCACAGAAAACATTACTACACTAATGGCTTCAGATTATTGTTACCTCAGGGCTTGTGATTACACAGGCAATTTTATTCTAAATGCTTCTGAAATCCTTATCATTTACTACTAATGTCACCCCAGTGGCGCGGGACGCGAAAAACCCAACCTTAAAGAGCATGTAGCTGGAGGACAGCGGCTCCACGGAGTCTCCTGCGGAGGGATGGGAGGGAGAGGACGAGGGCGGGAGGCCCAGGCACTCCTCCAGGGTTCCACCTTCCTCCGCTCCTCTGTCTCCCCCCTGCGCCTCCTCGTCCTCCTCCTCCAGGAAGCCGGTCTCCAGAGCGGAGGGACCCAGGATCGGATCGGACTCGTTGAACATGTGGTGAGCAGGACTGGAGTGGTCCGTGCCGTCCCAGGGAGCCTGCGGGGAGCGAGGTGGCGGGGAATAATCATGTCAAAATAAGGAAGTAGGAACATTTAATTGACAACAATATTGATAATTGATCCTGTTATTAAAAAACTCGGATGATCCAGCTTCTCAAATTTGAAGATTTGGTGTAATCGTACCTGTAACTGGTCCAGCTCCACTGATGGCGCCATCAGCCCAGTCTCCTCTGACGAGCCCTGCTCACCAACGAGCACGTCACTCCTCAGTTTGGAGTCCAGGTCGGTTCCCCCGACACCGTACGAGTTGAGCATGCTCTGACCTCCCGCCGCCGAGTTGAAGGGGAAGCCGTTGAGGGCGTCTTTGGATGCCTTCCCTCCGTGTAGGGCGTCTGCGGACATGGCGTCGTGCTGCAGGGAACTCAGCTCCAGCGTTTCATCCAAAGGAGGACAGTCGAGGAAATCTCCCCGCGACCCGGGGACGATTCCCAGGCTCGGTGAGGCCGAGTCGTGGGCGTCCAGCGGCGGAGGGTGGAGGTGAGGGTGAGAGGAGGAGGAAGAGGAGGAAGAAGGCGAGGGAGCTGATGGAGGCACAGTGTGATGCTGGTGGTGGTGCTGGTGGTGGTGGGAGGACTGGTGGGGGTACTCGGGAGGCTGAGGGGAGTGGTGACCGAGCCCAGAGTCGTACAGACAGCAGTGAGGATGAGGCAGCTGCGGGTGAGCCGAGGAGGAAGATGAGGACGAGATGCCCGGATGAGCCGCCAAGCCCGGATGGTGAGGGTGGTGGTGGCTTTGAGGATGGATGTGAGAGGGCTGTCCCCTGACGTAGTTCCTGTGAGCCTCCAGGAAGGTCAGCTGCGGGTCGTTGAGGATGTAGAAGTCGGTGCGACTCAAGCCGTGGCGTGCCGCCCCGATGAGGAGGTCGCGGTCGTGTTTGCCGGTCTCCCACCAGACCGGGAGGTAGAGCGAGGGGCGGCACAGCTGGAGGCGGGCCGAGAGTAACGGGTGACGGAGAACCTGGGAGAAGGAGGCGATTCAACGAGCAGAAGAGGAACGAGTGTTAGCCATCCGAATATATATATGGAACATTTCAACACCAAATATACCGACAGTTACTTCCTGTTTCACCATCACACCGACCAAAGTCTGAAAGTAGAGATATATGATCTAGAATGATCAATTATTATATCATGCTATATATCATGCTCAACACTTCCCTGTATATAACAATAATTCCTGATGATATAAACAATAAAAATCAATGGTATTTAAGAGCTGCAGATTTGAGGCTGACAGTTTTTAGATGGGACTCAATTTCACTATTCATCACGTGACGGACGGGACAGGAATCATAATAAGAACAGTTCAGTTTTTATATGTGCAGTTCTAATATGAATGAACAACATTTTCTTTATTTATTACTTAATGCTCGTCTTTCTGTTGTCTTTTATTATTCCTCTTTTTAGAGGCTGCTCCCTCTAACATTAGAAATACTAAATCAGAGGCGGACCTCACCGGGGGGGGGGGGCTCCAAACTGTTCCAGGGGGGGTTCAGTGAATGTAAGGGGAAAATATTAGTAGTTATTACATTAGTTATCAAAAGATCACATAAATGAGCCTAAATGTGTGCGACTTGGTTCAAGAGATTCAGCAGTTTCTCCCAGAGTCAGAAACTGATAAAAGCCCCAGGATCTTTTTAAAGTCTCTGGTTTAGTCTCAAGTTATTTCAAACAGCAGCATTCGGCCATCTTGGCTCAACTGTTGAGTGTGTATGGGATCAAATAACACAATCGTGATCCCACAGGCAGATACCCCTGGCATGTTGTTTTTTTATATTTCAAAGACCCACGGCGAAGATGTTGATAAAACTAGTCTTTGTTTTGAAGAGACCGTCTGCAGGTATTTAACTACAGACTCAGGAAGGAAGGAAAACAGCAGCGTCCAGCATTCATGAGTACAGTACAGAAGCTACTTCCTGTTTGATCAGTTTTCTTTCCCTTTTTTTTACATTTGTTATTATTTTTCACAGACTCATGTCGTTCATCACTACAAGTCTGAGAGCTGCGGTTTCTTTTGCATGTATGTCCACAGTTTGAAAGAGTCAATGTTCCAGATGTGAGAACCGAGCTGATGGGACATTTTATGCTTTTGTTATGTTGATAGTGTTAAAATACAGAAATACAGTTCCCATAATGCTTTGGGTGAAGCAGGCAGCTGAGGGCTTTGCCAGAGTCTTTTCAGCCTGAAGTCGTTTCACATTGTGGTGAGTCTGCGGCAGAGAGAGTCAGGCCTCTTTAGTCAGCAGCACTTCCTGTTTGATGACTGTTTACTCTGTGTAACACGTCTACACATTGATTACGAGTCTTTTTTATTTTTAAACGATTGTTCGTCTTCTCCAGAGTTTTGATTTGCGACGCTGAAGTGAAGGGAACTTTTTCTGACACGATTCGATCAAACGCTACAGAGAAAATTGATAAATAAAAAAAAAATCAAGACAGGTGAATAAGGTTCATCCATCGCCGCATCGAAACCAACCGGCACCCTCCTCCACACAAACAGCTGCGCGGCTGGAGATGAACTTTGAAGTCAGTTTTTCTGATTCTTTTGAGTCACAACAGTGAAAAGCAGCATTAATGATGAAGCTTTGTTCCTTCAAAGAGCCCACCTGCTCTCTGATCTTGCGGAGCAGCTCGATGCGGTACAGAGTCCGGGCCGCTCGCTCCTCCGTCAGAGGCTCCACGAGAACGCTGGGGTCCACCAGACCTGGAAGAGACGAGAGGGGGGAGAAAACATTATCATGGAGCCGGTGAGAGGCAGGAAGATGCAGAGATGAAGGCAGGGAGATGAGAGAGAGGGAGGGGGTAAATAAGTTCAAGTGTGTTCGTGTGATGAGTCTGTGATTCATCCCACACATGTACAGCAGCTTAAAAAGTGTGTGTGTCTGTATGTGTGTGTATGTGTGTGTGTGTGAGTGTGTTGTGCATCCTCCTCAAAACATGTTGCACTGATGCTTTTATCATCGAGGTGAACAAATACATGTAGGCAGTTAATATTAAATAAACCCAGTTCACATTCATTTCACATTTGAGATGATTTATATTTTAACTCATAAATATACATTTTCTGATTTGTTTAATGAGTTTGGATTAACTTAAAGATTCCCTCCAATGGAAATAAAGTGTTTAACAAACCATTTTTATGTGAGAAAACCATGTTTAACTAAATATTAATCATAGTTTAAAACATGTCTGGAGAGGAACTCAAAGGTTCATGCACTGAACTCTAAATATTCTCTGCAGCTCGACTCTGTCACCACCTGGAACGACCCAATGACAGAAGCCTCTTGTAAATGGTGCAGTGTCGGACTTTATAGGTTTTCACAGTCAAACTTGTATTGATCTTGTTAAACCAGCCAATAACATAAATCAGGAAGCCGTAACCCTGCAACATTTGAACCACTTCATCAGATAACACTGTGTGCGACCGCGAGCGATACCTTCTTCCTTCCTCGGCGGCAGCTTGCAGGCCGTCCTGCACATGTTGACGAAGGAGTTGAAGTATCTCTCCAGACTCTCGTCCGTCTTCCTCTCCAGCCGGGCCAGCGCTCTGAACTGGGACCAGTCGAAGGTTTTCCTCTCGGGGTCGTACACCACCCCGAACGACGACACGGTGCGGTAAAAGTCTGCCTGCTCCCGACGAGTCCACCTGAGACACCACACAGGAGACAGAGACGGAGAGAAAGAAAACAAAATGATCAGTCGGAGAGAAAGTTAGAAGATCAGTCCAATCAGCTGCTGCGTGGTCGGCATAGAGAGGCGTGTCTATGGAGGCAAAGCCCGACCTCGAGCTCGCGAGGCAAAACCCGAGGTCTCTCTTCTAAGGAAAGTAGCAAAAGTTTGTCCATAAAGTTTCTATATTTGTCACATTCAGGCCTGAAAATTCAGGAAATCTAACGACAGAGTCTGACCAATCATCGACCCTCACCGCCTGAGAGAGGAGATGTAAAACTACACCGAGACGGTTTTTATATCTTCTGACTGATCAACACACAAATAAAACACAGAAGAAGAAGAAAATATGGAGCTTTGAATATGAACAGAGCTCAGGACTTTTGATTAATGCAAGTAAACTTTATATTTTCAAGTGTTTGAAACTTCAACTTAAGGATGCACCATGTGACATGACATGTGACCGTGACATGATTCTGTTTGTTGTTGACTATTTAGATTTTTAGTTCAGCAGCCATTTAAACAATCTCTGAATTTGATATAATTTGTCCATTCATCAGTGAATCTCTGTAGCTTTGAATCTCCAGTGTCGTTACCTTCTCTGCCACTCCAGAAACAGCGGGTCAGGCTCTGTGGCGACCACCGAACACCTCCTCAGCTCTTCACCCAGCTGCCACGCCAGTGGCCCGCCGGCGTGGTGACCGTGAGAGGCGCCAGTCCCTCCCATCCCCATGCCGACGAGGCCGTCGTGGAGAAGGAAGTCGTGTCTGAGCAGCGGCTCGCGGCGTAGCGTGAACCTCTGGTAGGCGGTGATGAGGCGCCGTAAACGCGCCGTCAAGGCGGGGCCGGTGGGCCACAGGGGCCTGGCCTGGACCACGTGCAGTGCCGCCACACCCGTCCCTGTTCCTGTTGTCGTCGTGGTGACCAAAGTGCTGTCTTGGGCGCACAAGTCACCTGACATCTGGGAGTCTGAGGAGAGAGACAACACAGCGATGATTTGACCATAATTACTGCGCCCTGCCTCTGACGTCTGGAAATTCATCTCAAATTTAGATTAAACAGAATTTAAATTAAAGTCTCATTTAATCCTGATCATTGAACAGATGAGTGAAATTCCCACTTTAAACCACAGAACTCATGAGCTGGAAATTGCCAAAACCAAATCAATCAGTGCAGCTCCTCCACCTGTAGGCCCCCAGGTTTTAAACTTTAATTCACTCAACACTGAAAATGCAAACTCATACTGCAGCTTTCCATAAATATCCCATCTCCAACCACCTGCATGTGTTGAATATAAAAAAGCCTGAAAGAACACAGACGATTTTCACAATAAAGTTCAGTTCAGTTCTTCCATTGACACCGGAGCAGCAGGAGTTTGTGTCCTGAGTGTGGATGTGTGAACCGCCTCTCCCTCCAGAGTGCAGTTCAACCATTAGACCTTCTTTAAATGTATCTGCTGAGACTGTGAGCAGCATTAAAACTATCAAAACTCATTTCACACGTCTGGCCACCTCTGAACTCTGCAGCGCCGGGCTGAAATCAAGACTTCCCAACGTCGAGGGAAAGCTCCTCTCAGACTGAACGGAGGGAGAGAAGTCGTCCAGCGGAGAGAAATTATATCATCATGTCGGACTCGTTACAGAAACATGATGAGTTTAAACTTCCTGCAAATCTCACAGGGAGGAGTTGTGTAGAGGCGGACATGTTGGCATGTGTGTTCATGTGTGTCTCACCTGGACCTGTGCTGTCAGGCTTGTCTGAGGTGTCGGTGCTGGAGCAGGTTTCCTCTCCCTGTCAGTTAAAGACACACAACGGTCCAAAAAGAGAATTAACACGACAACACTGAATATACAGATACTGAAGCTATTTTCTAAGTTTTGTATTTTTTTTTTTTATCTGCATGAAAAACCTGAAACGCAAGTGAATTTCTTTTTCCTTTCCTAAAACTTTTCACAAGAAAAATGACCCCCAACCTCCCAAAAAGTTTTTTTTCCTTCTTTCTTCCCAGAAAAGAAAATTTCACTTGCCCTTCAAGGTTTCCACAACAGACACAAAACTAAAAATCACTAATTAACTCTACCACACACCCACCAGCAACCAGTCACTCTTTCACTGTTAAAATCAATATCACAATATTATTAGGGATATTTTTAGATATAATAATGTATGAACTAAAACTGTGTCTCTACTCTCATTCAGCACAACAGATAAAACTCTTCAGGTCTGAAATGTGTTTCCTCTATTTTCATTTATATGTAATGAGATGAAACTGAAAACAAAAAATTAATCTTATATTTTTTTTCCTTTTGTTTGTTTTTTTGTTCACAATCATAAACTCTGATCTACAACTAAAAATTCACAATTTCTGCAGCTTTTATAATCACAAGTTAAAGTGCTGACGTACTTAATCAGTATTGATTAGTTACATAGATACACAGATGTATGTTGCATCTCTTGGAGAAACTGATCCTGAATCAGTTCCACGAACACTGTGTGAGACACTTTGAATTTTCTTAATAACATCATTTTAACTTTCTCTGCTCCGGTATTAAATGTTGTTATCGACTAAAATGCATCATTAACTCTACAGAATTGTTTCTACAGCATCGAGAGGCCACACACACACACACACACACACACACACACACACACACACACACACACACACACACTTCTGTTGAAATCATCCAAAACTCATCTTTTTTTTTGTCCCCAAGGACATTTTAACCATCACCACACAAAATGAGTGTTTGTATCTCAAGAGACTTTAGTGAAGTAAATGAGGATGATGAGAGAGGGAGGGAGAGAGAGAGAGAGAGAGAGAGAGAGAGAGAGAGAGAGAGAGAGAGATCTTTTTAAATACTAATGTGGCGTCTCTGGAGACCTTCGTCTTCACCTTGCTGCTCTCGTCTCTATCCTCCCCTGCATCAGCCTTGCTCTCCGTGTCGTCCTTCGCCTCCTCCGTTTTGCAGACGCTGAGGAAAGAGAGAAACGAGAAACGAGAAAAGCTTTTAATGACAGCGACAGCGACGGAGTCCCGCCGAGCTGCCAGGTGAACGGCCGAGGGACACACCAGCGGTCCGCGAGTTCAAACAAACGCTTTAAAACGCCGCAGAGACACGACAAAGAATCAGACTCGTCACAATCTGATCACATGGGAAGGAAACGGGGAGTGAGCGTGTGCAGATTTGGCCTTTTTAAACCAATAACATGAGAGCGCCACCTCCAGCTGTTTGTCTGGTGGCAGCGTACGAATGAAAGGAAGAAAAATCTCAAATAACAAAATATAAAAATATCTGTGTAGAAAACTAGACTGTAAATATCAAATACAAAGTCACACTGTAAAAGTATTTAAGAGCTTTTAAAACAGAAACGTGTGAAAACTACAAAAACATCCGATACACAGGAACCACTGAGAGGACACAAGGACGCGACCCGGTTCTGTAAATCTCTGTTCTTACTGTAGAACTGTGACAAATAGAAGAGATCTGCACGGCTCAGTGTGTTTTCGTTTTATGGTTTTCTGACGAACAAAACGTGAGAGAGAGAAAAATCAGAGGAATCAGTTTCCGTCAGCGAACTGACGCTCAGCAGAAACACTTCATCAAGGTCCAAAGAGCAAATCTTCACATTTCACAAAGCTACTTTTAAGAAATATTAGCGCTGTGTTTAAAGGGTCACAGGTCAAAACGCACAAGAAGAAATGATTTGTTAAGAGGAGTGAAGGCCGGAGGGTGAAAGCGGTGAAATGCTTAACGTGCGACTAACGTGAATTAAACTGGATCCTGGATATTTCTGTGCTTTTGTCGAGACATTAACTCATTTGTTTGATAAACAATAAATATCACCAAAAGTCAATTTACATCCACTTCTATAAGCTCTGACAAGCACTTTCCAAAACTCCCCAAAACCTTCAAGCTTCATCTTTATAATCTACTTCGTATTCTCTGTTCTCTGCTGAAGGAGCAACTGTAACTCAACCTCACTTCCCCCCGTGGATCAATAAAGTATTCTGATTCTGATTCTTCATAAAAACCTGCTGTGATGTGACGTGATGTGATGTGACGTGGAGGGAAACAGCATTTTCTATCACGTCCTCTGTGTGCACAAATCCCTTCCCTGTAATTTGTCCCTTTCTCTGTATTTATTTATTTTCCGCGCTCTGTCCCGAGCCTGCGGAGTGAACTCCTGCAGGCTCCGCGCTCCGCTGGGAAACAGCTTCAGGTTGAACAGGTAACAAAGCGAGTGACAACTTCAATTACCCAGAGGAAGAGGATCAAAGCTTCCTGTTCAAACGTGAGCGCCTCGTCTTCATCGCTCTGCCGTCAAGCCGCCATAGAAAATACATTTCCCACACTGTGTTCACTCTTCTTCTTCTTCTTCTTCTTCTTCTTCTTCTTCTTCTTCTCTGGTTCTCTGTCAATTATTCTCTCTGGCTTTTGTCAGAGCAGGTTCAGTGAAACGACCAGAAAATGACTCGAGAGCCTGAAGTCGCCCCTCCTCCGAGAGGGGGGAGCGCTCAGAGTTCAGTGGAGGGTTAGAGCTGAAACTGAGGAGTGTGTGTGTGTGTGTGTGTGTGTGTGTGTGTGTGTGTGTGTGTGTGTGTGTCAGTCTGTTAGCCATCATTAAAACATGATGCTGTTCACACAATAAAACCCCTGATATCAGCCTTTACATTCAGATTTATTTATTTCACACTCAGATTTGTATCTCTATGTGTGTTTAATCTCGTCCTTCACACTCAGAATGTAAAGCAGGTGTGTGGGCGGGGAGGTGGAGAGGTGTGTGTGTGTGTGTGTGTGTGTGTGTGTGTGTGTGTGTGGGGGGCAATAAAAACAAACATGGCATCAGAGCAGACAGGATATGTTTTTCACACCAGCGTTGGCGCCTGCTGCGAAAGCTACTAGAGAGACGGAGAGAGGAGACGGCTGGAGGGAGGAGGGAAAGATCTGCAGGGGAGACGAGAGCCCGACCGGCTGGACTGTCGCCATCTGGGGCAACAGCGAGCAACTGCCTCCGGGCCCTAAAAAGCTCCAGGTTTACTGTGAGTCAGCTGATCTAGTTTTGGCTCATTTGTTTGTTCTGGAATCTGCACATCAGCTGTAGATCACGGTGACGTCTTGACGCTGTCGACCGATCTGCTCTCAGCTTCATTAGCGCTGACGCTGAAAACACTCGACATCGCTGCACGCCGTTTAAAAAGGCCGCACTTCTCGTGTCTCTGAATACGCATTCGTTTATTTACTGGGCCCTGATTGGAAAACTAACTTCATATCTCACTTCCACATGTGACCAGGACTAATGACCAGGTGACGCTCCATGTGACACGAGGTCATTCGTCATAACTTCTGTTTTATGATGTGCTTGTTTTTCTTTTTGTTTTTAAATTCCCCTTTTTCTTTCTGTTGTTATTATTATTATCATTATTATTATTATTAATATCATTATTATAATTGTTATTATTATTGTTGTTATTATTATTATTATTATCATCATTATTATCATTATTATCATTATTATCTTTATTATCATTATTATTATTATCTTTATTATTATCATTATTATAATTGTTATTATTATTGTTGTTATTATTATTATTATTATCATCATTATTATCATTATTATCATTATTATCTTTATTATCATTATTATTATTATTATTATTATTATTGTTGTTATTATTATTATTTTCCACCTGAACTCACACGTTAAAAATGAATTGGTTTGTTCCTCATGGTCATTTTAGATTCTTATTTCTGGTTGTATCTGTTCTAATTGATTCTCGTCATTACATTATTTATTAATTGCATTTAAATGTTTGTTTTAATTGATGTTTCTTGTTTCTTGTTAGTGTTTTAACTGGTATTTTTAACCACTCCACGTCCTTGTAAACGAGTTTAAATAGAGACATAATGAAATGGTAAATGGACTGCACTTATGCAGAGCTTTTCTGGTCTTATTGATCATTCAAAGTGTTTTGTAATACATCACATGCAGACACTGATGGAACAGCCATCAGAGGTCGTTTGGGGTCAGTAACTTGCTTAAAGATAACTTCAGCACACGGACTAAAGGAGCCGGGGATCGAACCACCGACCAGCGGACGACCCGCTCCACCTCCTGAGCCGCAGCCAACCCCGTTTGAGGGTCTCGAGGTGGGCTCTGCTTTAAGAGGGTCTCTGTGTTTAATCATAGAAACTACACAACAAACGTAGGGCCAGGTAGTTTGAAGGACCTCAGAACCGACGGCTGAAAGAACAACTACAGATGAGGAGCAGTCGGTTGATGCTGCAGTTTCCTGTGTTCTTGTATGTTTTTTTTAATGTGTTTATTAGCAGGTATTATTTAAAATGTTCAAAGTTCACCATCATGTTCTGTTTAAACTTTATTTTACGACTTTAAATTCCACTGCACGTGTTTCTAACAACTCTTTAATTCCCAGATTGGAACAGTTTTTAACAGCTGTTTGTTTTAAAAGGAATATTGTTAAATGTCAAATATCACTTTTATTTTCATCCTAAAATATTCAAACTTATTTCATGTGTTTGGATCTCGTGTGATATCCCAGCATGCCTTTGTCTAAATAAGTTTTTTTTCCAAATCTGTGAATTTGTGTACCTGTGTGCGCGTCCTACCTGTCAGTGATGTCGGTGGCCACCTCTCCTCCCCCCTGCTCAGCAGACAGCGCGGTGACATCTGGCATCCCCACCCTCTCCAGGAAACACAGTTCTGGATCAGCACGCATGGCGTTGTACCGCTCGTATCCTGTCCAAGGACAAGCATTGATGGAGAGACACACAATTAAAAACACTGACAAAGCACGCACACACACACACACACACACACACACACACACAGAACGTCCCCTTCCTCTTCCAGGGTTGGTTGGTTGTCCTCCTGTGAACGAGCTGACAATAATCAGTGTCCTGTGATGGTCTGATGCTGTTTCTGTTTCTGGGGATTCACAGCAATGACAATAACACAAATCTAGGTGCGCACACACACACATACACACACACACACACACACAGATTTGTTCCCTGATTGATTGTTCACAGCTGTTTAAACATTGTGTGGCTGCATCTTAAATCTTCTACACATAGAAGTCAAGCTTTAATAAAAAACACAAATCATCCTGAAATCACAAGATGGAAAATATTTATCAGTATTTTTGTCCATGTGTGAATAAACCTGAAAGAAACATTTGGTTGCTGAGAAGTGATGCCGGTCCTCACCGTGTTTGTGGACTCCTATGAGCAGAGACTTGTCAGCATCAGCATCCCACCACGTCGCTGGGATCTCGATGTAGTCGATGTCTGGGAGCGACACCTCCAGTTTACTGTCACAACAAGACACACACACACACACACACACACACACACACACACACACACACAAGCAAACAATCCATCCGTCAGTGTCACGTCAGGACGCCGCAGCTCACTGACAACACAGACAAACAAACATCCAGCCGCTCGATCAGAAATCTGTCGACGCCGCTGACTGCTCGTGTGAACCCTCATGTAAACCATCGCTACGTCAGGTTTTAGAGACGTCGGTGAAGTTAAATGTCAGTCAAGTTTATCAACAAACCATCAGGTAAACTGTTGAACTGAATTCCTACCTAGACCCCAAGAAGGGGAGAGGAGAGGGAAAAGGGAGGAGAAAGAAGGAAGGAAAATAAAGAGGGAAAAGAAAAGAAAAAAAGGGGGAAAAATTTTGTTTTTTTTTGTTTATTTTTTCTCTCTTCCTCCAAATAAGTCAAAATATTATAACAATAACAAAGATGTCAGTTGTTTCGTCACACTAGAGGTGTATGACACCACGCTAAGCCATGTTACATTATGTTACATTATGTTATGTTATGCTATATTATGTTATGCTATGCTATGCTAGGTTATGTTATGCTATGCTATGCTATGTTATGCTATGTTATGCTAGGTTATGCTATGTTACGCTATGTTATGCTAGGTTAGGTTATGTTATGTTATATTATGTTATGCTATGCTATGTTATGCTATGCTATGTTATGTTATGCTATGCTATGTTATGCTATGTTATGCTATGTTATGCTAGGTTATGTTATGTTATGTTATGTTATGCTATGCTATGTTATATTATGTTATGTTATGCTATGCTATGCTAGGTTATGCTATGTTACGCTATGTTAGGTTATATCACCCATCTTGTCTTTGTCTTGCCTCACCAAATAAAATAAAAAAAAGTAAAATCTACTTTAACAGGCAGAGCATGATGATCGTGCTCCTCACCTGGCAGGTATCCCCTCTACAGCCTGATTGGCTGCCTCACCCAGCACCTCCACCTTCAGGTAGTACAGCATCCTCACCCTGAGCAGCACCCTGAGGAGAGACAGGCAGCACGGTCAAAGATCAGCGTCTGGCTCTGAGTGGACTGAAGCTGGGCTCGCTCAGACTCTCGCCTCCGCCGTAAACCCCAGTCCTCCTGTCAGCAGGCTCTTCCAGAGCTACGGTAATTAAAAGCTGCTGCCTCACACACTGATACACAGGAGTAAACACTTCACGCTGGAAATAAACAGCTCAGAGCTTCAGGGTGAAATTAAAGTCCTCGAGCGGCTTTAGGTTGAACGACCGTGCGGGCCACGTCTCTGTACTTATGTTTCTGTACTCCGCTGCTGACTGTAGTGTTTCTAGTAGCTTTTGACCTGCTGCTCGTAAATTACACAGCTGCACTAGTTGAGCTTAAACACATCAAACATACTATATCATACCACTGTAGACCACAGAAAATCATCAAGCTTGCACTAAACACAAGTGTTTGGTTAAGGTCAAAGGTGACAGAGCGGCACACGTCTGTTTTTACTCCTGTTCACCGGAGCCGGTGGTGAAACTGACTTGTTGCAGTGCTGCTTCAGGTGTTTCTTGTAGCTCTCGTCCTGCAGAACCACCTCAGGGTTACAATGGACCAGCCAGTCGGCGTTCTTCACTTCACCGGGAACATTCAACTGGTTCTTCAGCTTCTTCCCCTTCCGACCCCGAGGAACCGGAGCTGACAAACCTGGGACACAGTCAAATCCAAAATTTATTATCTGGATACAGTCCAGTCCAAACATCAGCACAATCGATATTGTTGTGCATCGTGATATATAATCATATATTCATAATAGAATGATGTTGTTTTATTTTATGTTTTAGTTGTTTGTTTTTTTAATAATACATAGTTATATATTTTTAATACTATATATAATTAGAGATGAAAAATGAATCTGAATATTATCCAAATTGCAGGAGGTTTAATGTGTCATAACATCCTATTATAAATGATAATGGTGCTACAGAGACATTATATTCTGCTGACATAAGGCATCATGTTTGTTTGGTACAGAACCAGAGCAAAAATCACATTATCATCAATTTTCTATTTTATTTTTTGGTGAAAATAAAAAGCAAAAGTTACTTTTGCCATTAAAAC